TTTGCAACCACAGCTACATATATCTTAAAGTTTATAGACATAATCAAAGGTTTGCCAGAAAGGATGCAAGAAGCCCTCCTTTTTGCAAATTCGAAAATATATCTGGGGGGAGATAATGGTCCCTTGTTTAGAGTTTTGCTTTCTAGCCACCTATTTTACCGATTGATATTTTACATGCCATTGATGCATACACAACCGAAACAACGCTTGAAATTGATATTTATGCAATAAACCAAACAAGATACATACATGTGTAAATTTGCTGCGTGTTCATACGACAAAATTTACACAAATGAAAAAAATAATTTGCTACAAAGTGTATGCAAAAGTTGATTTGCACCTAGTCCTGACCAAGTGTAAATTTACTCAACAGTGCAAAATTTGCATATGAGTAAATCAGTTCATACGACAAAAATTGCACATGTGAGTAAATTTACTTAAGTGTAAAATATACTGACGTATGTAAATAATGTCGTATGAATGCGGTATTAGATCTTATTCTAGATAAAAATAGATATTCCTAAAATACTTTAAAGTATATTTTTTTATGTTTTATTGTACTTATTACCAGGCCCTTTTAAGATTTCCAAGAGCAATGAATCATATTATGTTGCATGAAATGAAAATTGATGCTCTTTTTCGCAAAGGCTCTGGGATAAAAGCACACAACTCGTTGGATAAAATTATATCCAACTAAAAATCACGGGAGATCCTATATTTAACAACGATGTCAACAGCAGTACTAACTTTGAAGGAGTTTTAGCGAATTTCTACATAGAGGTGTAGAATATCTCATTATTCTTCAATTTGAAGTCATTGGTGTTCCTAGAAAATAATGTTACTGCTCTCCTAGTTCTAACTCTACTAGTCTTTTTAATTTTTCGACGATACGAATGAAAAATTGGTCGCCCAGCAATGAGCTTAAATGATTAAAGAAGAGAGGAATGTTAATATTTATTTTACTTTTTAAAACAGAATAAAATTTCTCCTTCAATGAAAGCTTATCTATTACTTATTGATAAGAAATGCTTAAGACATATTTTTAATGAATATGTTTATTAAAACCAATTAACAATCCTTGCATTCTGGTTAAAATATTTTTATTAAAAATGGTACATGTAAAAGATAAATTATGGCACCGAAATAAAATTGATTCAACAATCTCATTCACTGCAGGTAATATCCATCTTGTCAATATATTACGAAATAACTTTGCAAAAGACGATTCCTTCTTGCACTGTGTCGATGTCCTTTTCACCAACCTTGATAACCCGAAATCCATGTTCCTCTATATTCCGTTTCCGACGCTCGTAGCCCCAACCGACACCCCGACCCTCATCCGAAGGGCCCATGTAACTGACCGGAAGACAATTAAAGAGGCCAACGGCCAAATAAAACTGGGCCACAGGGTTGTTAGCTTGCTTTTCTGGATACGAGCTGACAGGGGGATCATACGCCATTCCGTAGCCATCGGGTTTCAGGACTCGCTTCGTCTCTTTGAGAATTCCATCGATGTCGTTTCCATCGTGAAGTACATCGTTTATTAAGACAAAATCAGATTTTTCAGTCCAATCTTCTGGGAGTTGCCCACCTTTCATATGGCGATAGATGATGTTCTGTTGACCACTTTCTTCAAGTTTTTTGATGGTTTGATTTATGGAGATTTTATCCGAGTCGATACCATAAAACATACAGTTAGGGAGCAGTTTGGCCACCTCTCTTGTGTGCTTACAATAACCACAACCGATATCTAACAGTGTAAAGTTACTTTCTGTAAAAGAGAAAATATTAAATTAAATTGAAAATTATATTCTAGTCTTGCTGTTGAGTAATACGGTGATCTGGAATATTATAAGTTTTGAACCTGGTTTTAGTTCTAATGCCGGAAACAGATTGTTCTTGGTCCACTCCTGAAGAGCTTCCGGTGTACGATATATCCACCCACTTAAGGAAAGGCTCATAGTATTCATAACCTATACAAAACGTGTACAGAAATAACGTTCAACTAAGTGCTGATACCTGTGCAAGACAGGATTTTAGATAATTCAAAATATTCATAAACAATGAACATGGAAAAAATTAAAGAATATTACTGGATAAAATATCTACCGTTTGATATCAACTTATATATCCATATTAGTATATTTTATTTACTTCAATGTATACATGAAATATTTCTCAAAATCTAGGGGGGGGGACCTCATCCTTAGATTTACGCACGTTTTCCCCTTGCGATACAATTCCTCTTAATTAGCTCGTTTGTCAATTCATTAAAAACATTTTGAAGTGCAAAATCAACCTGTAGAAGATGTGAAAACAAAACAAACCCTTTGGTCCATCCTCTGACATGACTTTCTCCAGCTGAGGAAACATCTGACTGAATATTGGGATCAAATTTGCAACTATACCATACTTGTTAGCCAGGGATTTCTCAACCAGAAGTGAATATTTGCCGTCGCCGTGAAGTTTGACAATTCCCGCCGATATCATGCAGCCAAGCCATTCTTATACATATCTATTAGATATAATTTGATATGCTGTTGATTTTTACACTTAAAATCTATGCTTATGAATATCAAGTCTAACAAAAATGATTTTTTGGGATAACCTACATGTTTCAAATAAACAAAAAAGACATTCATTATGAAACAAATTCATTACAACGGAATAGGGAAAACAGTTTTCAAGTTCAAAAATTTATTTAAACAATACTGATCAAGAGAAGAGCAAACACAAACCTCTAAAAGATCAACTGTTCACAATCGATTTGTTTTAATAAATCGTCAGTCACCAAAGACCTTATGATGATTGTTTCTGCTGTTAAGCTTATTCGACCAGAGACCTTGCAAAATGATTACTTAAAACAAATCCGTTGATATTCTTCTTCCATTAACTTGTTTATCAATAACTTGCTGTTTTAGAAATTATTCAAACATAGGGCGTACTCATGGGTATTTAATCAACTGGGAGATATGAACTGCATATGTCTGTGATAAAGGTGTATTGGTTTACTGTTACTTTTTCGTGAGTAAGGCGCATTTGCTCGAATGGGGAAGAACTGTTTTACAACTTTGTAACTAAGACAATAGCAAAAAGAGTCGTTATCTTGAAAATATTTTCAAAATAATAAATTGAACATGCGTTTAAGAAAAAGCATGTAGGTACAGGTAACCTATGAGTGGTAAGGTATTGTTGTAACATGTAGTTTTCAGGTAATTAATATTCCCACTTTAAAACAGATTAAAATTTGATTGAAAATGGCTTACCTTAACTTTTGGCCTGATCATTGACTGAGTTCTTCCGCGGTGCAAGGATTTTTTAAATCGATTAAAGCATGAATTATCCCAACTTTGTAACCAAAAGCAAACACGAGTGTGCTCATTCCGTCTCTCACAATCTGCACTAAATCTCGGCTAGAACCTGAGGCCATATTGATAAAAACGAATGTATGTGTAAATCGTGTAATGGGCGTCTGGTGCATGGTGTCCGCTTGGTGTCTAGGTATTCAGGTGATAAAAATCGGTGGATTTTAAATGGATAACATATTTTTTTTTGAAATATGATTTGTCAATTGACGTTTGAAACACAAGCTTGAATCTTTTCGTTATCTTTTAACTTCTTGAAGCTTCAAGAAATTTAATATTGGACTTAATTGAACTTGAAGCAATGTTTTGCATTATGCCTTTTATTCAAGAGACAGGTTAATATCTAGTATATATATAAATTGTCTACAGAAATAAAATAAAAACAGTGTCAAGATGATATTTGTTATTTTACTTGTTAGTTAGTTTACATAGCATGCAGGTTTCTCTAACTTAATCTATTTTAAGTACAAGTAGTCTCCCATAACAAGTTTCTATCATTTGTACCATATAATGTATATCAACGGTATGTTAATCTATACTGAAAGGAAAAAGAAACGCAGGGTAAATTTTTGAGGTAAATTAAATTTATTTTTCTTTTAATTTTTTTCAGTATTCCTATCTATTTTTTAAAATCATCTTTCAAAAAGGTATAACCAAAATCCTATTTGATTTTGTTTAATAATTAATGAGGTATTGAAGCTCATATGACGATACCCTCCAAAAGTGAAAATCGAACACTCTTATTATCTTTATTGTCTCTCCCGCTCATCTGTCATAAGCCTTATTTGTCTTTTGCATGGAATTTATCAGATTTATTATCTTTGAATTCCTGGCTATATTGGGCATGGGTAACCACACCGAAAAATTAGACATACGACGCGCGCATGCGCCAGTGAGAGGAACACAACAGTAAGTTGACCCGCTTAAAAAAACAAATTGCGGAATTGTTTTCTTTCATTTTTCGTGTGAATATAATGATTATAATAGTCTATTGTATAAAAGGCGGTTTTGGGGGTAGTAAGGTGGCGATTAAAGAAATGGTAGAACGAATAACCCACTCGTAACATGACTCTGTTTCGCGTTAACGTCATCGTCACGGTTGACTGAAAACCATTCCAGGCCCTCTCTGACAACGGGTAACAAGTTTTATGGGGGAAAATTTACAAGAAACTGCTTAGTTACCCCATTGTTGCCTTTTTCATTAATTAGGCAATTCGAAAACAAGACCCCATGGAACTTCGGTAAACTGTAAGAAGAACGCAAGAAATTCATATCGTCTCTAAATATTGAAAAACAATGTGTATACCTCAGGTGCATCAAATGGTGCAACAAGATTTGTTGACAAACTCGTCATCATCAAATTGAACGTGTTTTGGGCTTTTTAGCGTTTTCCCTATCTGATGTCATAAATTTTACGATTGAGTAATTCTTTACACTAATTTTGATGCATAGTAATTAAATTTCTCATCTGATCAATTTTCGTAATTTTCGGTCATGCGGTAAAAAAAATGTCGAATATTATGCTACCCTGCGTTTCTTTTTCCTTTCAGTATAGTATTCGTAGTATTTGTAGAAAAAATATACTCAGTAAACTAGAAAATGCAAACATTATAATAAAAAAATTGTTAGTTTACTTGTTAGTCAATTCACAAAATGTACCGGGTAGATTATATAATTAATCAAAAAGTATACATGATAAATGATGTTATGAGTTCATAATTTCAAATATTTTTCCTTTTGAAACACAATTATTCTTTTCTTGGTCTTGTTCATTTTATCTATTAGCATGATTAAATACAATAAAAAGACCCGAGATGAATTTGGGTCGGGTTGACTTTAAGTACAGAAAAAACTGTTCTTCAAAAATGATTTAATATTAATTCGCTTTCATAAAAACCATGCCTTCTTGCACTGTATCAATACTCTGTTTGCCAACTTTGATAACTCGAAACCCGTGTTTTTCTATTTCCTGCTTTTTGCGTTCGTATCCCCAGCCAATACCACGTCCTTCTCCAACATTATCCGATAAACTGACAGGAAGACAACTAAAAAGGCTAAAGGGAAGGTAAAACTGGGCTGTTATATTTTTGACTTGTTTTTCTGGATATGAACTGACAGGAGGGTCATACGCCATTCCGTAGCCATCTGGTTTGAGGACTCGCTTCGTTTCTTTGAGAATTCCATCGCCGTCGTGTGAATCATGAAGTAAATCGTTCATTAGGACGAAATCAAATTTTTCAGCCCAATCCTCTGGGAGTTGTCCTCCTTTCATATGGCTGTAGATGATGTTCTTTTGACCGCTTTCTTGTAGTTCTTTTATTGCTTGATCTATGGAGATTTTATCCGAGTCGATACCGTAAAACATACAGTTAGGGAACATATTAGCCACTTCTCTTGTATGCTTACCATAACCACAAACGATATCTAACAGTGTAAAGTTGGTTCCTGAGTAAAAGAGAAAATTAAACATATAAAAATTATTATACAAGTTATCAATGAATAATAGTTCAAACACAGCTATTTGGAAAATTGTCAATTTCCAACCTTTTTTAAGGTTTAATGCAGGAATCAGAAGATCATGGTTCCACTGGCGAAGAAATTCTGGTGTGCGATGTGCATCCAGCCAGGCAAGAAATGGCTCATAGTATCCATAGCCTGAAGAATAAATCAAAAACAATTATCTGTTGTAGTCTTTACTAAATGTTCTAAAAGATGTATAATAATATAAAGTCCGCCGAATACCTAATAACTCTCCTCATGCCCCTGTGCTAAAATAGTGTCAAATGTCTTTAAATGCAATAGATATAATTTTTAAAAATACATTTTTTTGCAAACATATATTGGAAAAAAAAAAGGTATCGAAAGTGTTTCACAAACAGAAAGTAAAGATTAATCGCGACCTTTTGCAAAATCAATTTGGGTCTCCCTTAGGCCACAGGAAGTTGTTATGTATAAATTGTATTGCAAAAGCCAGAAAGTGTTACGGAAATAGACAGACTCAAACTGATATCCACCACTTTTGCTTTCTGGGACAGCTTCTGAATTAGGCTAGTGCTTTCGGTGTTTGCTCTGGGTCCTCTTTTTGTCCGCTACGGGTTCGATTTCTGGGTGCACTTCGGGTTCTTACGGAGTCAGCCCTAGCGCACCCCGAGCGAACCCAAATGGGACTCAGAAAGCGAACCCAGGGTGGGTACCAGGTTTGCTTTCTGTTATGTTGTGTCCGGTCAGTACTCTTAATGAATTGTACATTTAAACAATAAAATGCTTTCTTTGATTGTAAGTAAGGGAATGAATGTTGCAGGTATGGCAGAAAGAATACATAACCCGCGTAAGCGGGTTATGTATTTTTTTTTTCTGCTATAGCTGCGACATTCATTCCCGTACTAACAACCAAAAAAAAAGACATTTAATTGCTCATATTTATATTTGTTTAAATAATCATTTAAAGTAGGATTAAAATTATTAATTATTGCATTAATGATGTGAACGTCTTTGTACGTTTCATTGATGAAACAGCCACTGATTAAGAAATCTGCACAGGTTACATGCCTAGTGTAGTTCATGCAATGATTGACGCAATGGGTTTTCTTAAGAAATAAAGGAGGAAATATTCAGTGGATGTAAATATATTATTATTAATAGCTATAGGTTTTCGTAGCTCATAATTTTTTTTTAAAAAGTTAAATACAATTTATCTTAACTTTTGATTTATCAATTCTTCATTCTTCTTGTCACGCATTTTTTTTTAAATTTAATGAGGAATAGAATCTCAATTTGCAAGATACGACGTCATTATTCCTACCTTATGTATATTCTTATATTTTATCATTAAATATTAAACAAACCCCTTGGTCCATTTTCTGAAAAGACTTCCTCGAGCTTGGGAAACATCTCACTAAATATTGGAAGCAATTTGGAAACACTGCCCCAAAGTCTCAACTGGGGTTCCCCGAACGGAAGGGAATATTTGTCATCGTGAAGATTGACAATTCCAGCAGCGATCATGCAGCTAAGCCATTCTTGAATGTACCTGTTAACGAACAAAACATGAAATATGTTATTTTCTTGGTCTAAGCACTGTTAAGTTACCTACATATCAGGTGTTTTTAAAAATATTTATTTCCTTAAATGCAAGGAGCGTGAAAATAAAAATTTGAGAAAGCAAGAGCCAATAAAATTAGCCCATGCTTATACATTTGATCAATGTTGATCCTTTTATAATAAACTTTCACCAACACGCATATACAAGTACTGTATGTATAAGTATGCGTATGAACAAGTTATGCAATGATACCTGCCCTTCCTCGTAATCGTAAAATCTAAATATGAGTTGGTTAAAATCCTTTTTATACATCCTTTTATTCTCCATTCACATGGGTTAAAAATTAAGGATATCCGATCCTCAGCCAGGAAAGATAACTCCAAAAATACATATTTAATTTGAAATGCATCAAAATGAAGCTTGAAAATGATTTTTTTTCGTGCAACAATTTTAATTATATTCATCTTTATAAGATTCAAGGTTTTTGGAAGTCTTAGAAAAGGTATTATAAAAGTTGATATTTGTACCCTATAAAAGGAAAAAAATTAATACAGTTATAGAGAAATAAGATTTTCTTGAATGCAGTCTTATATACCAATGATTATTAGCATGATATGAAATAAGAAGTGATTTGTGGTGTCTTGCAATGAAAGCAAAAGCCTTTTACACTATGTATTATAGAATACATGACTGAAATAGAAAACAAAAAATACCAAATAAGTATAAAATGCATGACAATATCTCTGAATGCCTTGATACCTATCGTTTTTTAACCTAAAATATATTTGTTGATCAATTTGCATTTAAAAAATGCAAAGCTAATATTCCTATTCGCTTTTTCTGCAAAAATATTAGAGATATGAAGATTTTCCCTATGTAATATGATTGAATTTAATCTTGAACTTTAAAGAAACACTGTGGATAAATTTACATAACTTTGTGGATTCAGAGATACTTTTATGAGTACTTTTGATTACTTAACTGCTAATTTTATAAACCTGAGGATCGGAATACCTTAACAAAATTACATTTACAGGTTACAGTCGAGTAATTTCTGGAACCATTGTTTTGTTGGTCATTGTTTTTCCTACATGAACCTCTCCTGAAAACGCTGTTTTATGGTGCGACTACAGAGTCAGCTGTTTCTTTCTTTCTCTTAATAAGAATATCATACATGTCTTTACAGCCTTTCATATTAATATAAAACATTTTCTTCGAACTGGGTATATTTGGACCATAAGGAAAACTCATATTAATTTGGTTTTTGTTAACAAATCTGTTTATCACAGCCTGTTTCAAACCAGAATATTCAACACAATTTGTTTTTACACAAAGATCTTTAAAGGTGTCTAGGCTAACAAAACGTTATTATCTAAGTAAAACAAGTCACATGAAAACAAAAACAGCATTAAAATAGCTTTTAGGAAGACAGAAGACTTACCCATGATGATTTTTGGATTATATCATATGTGTTCTTGGAATATATTTTTATTTTTCTGTTGTTCTGCATAACATATTTTAAGCCAACTTCTGAGGACTTCTACCCAAAAAGTGTTTGTTATTTTCTTACTTAAATTAGCAGTAAAGTCTGTACATGTACCCATTAACCAAAGACTTTTAATATCTGCATGTATTTGTGATTGAAATAATGTTACCCACTCAAAATCAGAGTGGATTAATCTTCTTATCCAATTTGATTATAATGCTATTATAAACTCTGAATAATTAATCAAACATTCTAAGGCCGCCATCTTTGTAGTCTTGAATGATAGTATTTCTTTTTATTTTATGGACTTGACTTCCCCAAAGAAAAATATAAATTTCATCCTCAAATGCTTTTATATGTAATTTCTAATGGTGGACTGGGTAAAGTAAGTACCAAAAGATTTAATGTAGGGATAATCAATCTTAATTACAGTTAACCTACCAATGGTTGTTAATTTTCTTAATTTCCACTGATTCAATACCTTTTTTAATCTTACTTAACTTTGATGTAAGAGGGGTTATCAAAAAGTTCGTGGACTAGCATCATAAAATTAAAACTGCTTTAGGTACATCAATGAATTTTAAAATATCTAGTTAGCATCATCTTTTCTATCTAAAGAATAAACCATGAATCAGGAATTTCATTTTTTTAATAACTTAGTAATGTTTTTGTAAGCAATGGTAGGTCCAGGCGGCGCAAACTCGAAAACGACGTTTTTGCGACCTATGTGTAACTGCGAAAAACTCTTTTGATATGATCATTTGACATCCGAAATTCCCGTTAATTCAGGTATGTGTTGGGACACAATTGTTCCATATAATATGAAATTTTCACTTCCTTCTGGAAGTTCTGTGAAATTTTATCGTAAATTTTACACGGAATGTCCAAACAAATGAAGCCTTGAAAATGACGTCAAAAGGGGGGAGGGGTTTCTGTTTCCAACATTCTATAAAGTTTTGCCCCTGAAAAAACTGGTATAGACCTAAAATATGTTGAAACTGGCTAGAGAGAAATAATATGCATCCAGAGTACTTGTCTTTTAATGTCAAAATAGATTCAGAGAGAAAAGGGATACACAGTTAAAGCCGATTTGCAGTCAAGGTTTGAAAAATCAATCACGTCAAAAAATGACGTTGATCATGTGTTGTAGATATTGAACTCCCAAAAGCAAAATATGCCGGAACATTAAAGCGCGGATCTCTCCCATTATAATTATCCATTTGGAATATTATGTTCATTGAAGGCCACTGTTCATGACATTGTAAAGTTATAAAAACATGGCGGGTTTAAATCCTTACTCAGCTCCAGGGAATCTCATCAAAAAAGTGTATAAGGTAGAAGAAGCGGACATTGAAAAAAACAATGACGTTAACGGACGTCATGAAAATAAACGACGACAGCGCCGGGTGATCATATGATGTCGTTTTCATTTTATAATAATTAGGCAAATAATGAACGTATCAGGCTAAATTTTTCAATATTTCTTTATTTTTAGTTGTTTTATGTTCTATATAAATTTTGAAAGCACAGACTACATAGTACTAATTTTATAGCCTCAGTCCACAAACTTTTTGATAACCCCTCGTATAATTAAGATTAATCAAGTCTTTTAATCCTTTAACTTAATCCTTAAAAGATCAAAAGTTGCGCTATTCCAGTCAAACTTCCATCTAGAATGATAAAACATTGTATACATGTACATCTTTTGAAAATTTTTTACTTCCAACCCATATCATTTTTTGTTTTTTGAATATTTATTTTGAGCCCTGATAAATTTGCAAAGCAGTCTTATTATCTAAGAATTCCATCCATAGATTCAGGCGATCCATCAGAGAAAGTGATGTGTCTTCTGCATATTGAGAAATCTTATACTCTTCTCCATCTATTGTTATACCTTTTATATCTTTATTCTTATTAAGTTAAAATGCCCAAAATTTCAGCACACAATAGGAAGAGATATAGGGATATAGGACCCACCTGTCTAGATCCCCTTTCTGGATATATATAATCAGATATAAAACCATTCGTATGGCACAGGATTTAATATTGCTATAAAAAGTCTTTATTCAGTTTTTAATTGAGGTTCCAAAATTGAAAAAAATCAAGTGTTTCATAAATAAAATTCCACGAGATAGTATCAAAAGCATTTTCAAAGTCTATAAGCATTAAAAGTCCTTGTATTTGATTGCATTCTGAATAATCCATAATGTCATAAATCAGTATAATATTTTCTCCAATATATCTTCCTTTTAAAATTCCAGTTTGATCCTTATGTATTTATTTATTTAAAACTGATTTTATTCGTTCGGCTATACACCCAGATGCTAATTTATAAATAACATTTAAAAGGTTAATGGGGCGCCAATTTTTTTAAAAAAATTCATTTGGTTTTCCTGCTTTTGGTATACAAGTAATAATTCCTAATCGATTTGCATCTGAAAATTGCATTGATTCAATAGCATTATTTTTTGCCCTTGTCACAATTATACCAATATCTTTCCAAAAGAACTTTAAAAACTCACACTTAAAAGAAGAATGTGATATAGTTTTCTCCTAATTTCCATTAGCAGAATATCTAAAAATAATTTATCACATATTGCAAATTGTAAATTTTCATCATTAGGTACCTAATTTTTCCATGTTATAAACTGGGCATGCATACTGGCTTTTGATCTCAATTATCTTTTGCTTAATTAATTCCACATATTCTGCATCTGTTAACAGAGAATTGTTTTATTTCCAGAAACCTTTTCCTTTTATGAACTCATTTAGTTTGCAATATGCGACAACTGCAGAATGATCAGACAATAACTGTTTTCATGTTTTATTTTTGGTATCATGGGCAATAAAGATTCAGACATGAGGAAGAAGTCAAATCGTGCCTATTTAATTGGGATTTTCCTTCTCCATGTGAATTGTCTAAGTTTGGGATTATTTTCTCGAAAAATATCTATCAGATTCAAAGTATCGATATCTTTTAAATTTAACATTTCTTCTCTTGCATATTGGCCACTCGTATGAACAACGATAATATCAAGAGTGAAGATATGTATCAGCAATTTTTTTTTTACATATGGTAAGTATGAAAGTTGTCCGTGACTGTGGCCACAGTTAACTTTCGGAATATTTGTCAAAAAATCAGCATTTTTGAACGATTTTATGAAACCATCGCATCTTCAAACCATCGCACGTGCCTAACATCGCATTATTTAACAAAATGAGTTAAGTAAGGAAAAGAAGTATGTTGTCCTCTAATAATTATCGTATAATTCCAGTCATGAATAGAAACTCTATTTAAAAAAAAAAAAAAAAAACATAGGGCCAAACATGACACTTGGTGGCTTTAGCTCTTTATATTTAAAATAGCTCCAAAATTATGTGATTTATAAAGTTAATTTTTTTTTTTTACAGTTTATAAATATATCATTTGATAAATAGCAAGTGCCATTTGTCAGCAAGTACGGAAAAAATATTTGTTGAGATAAATTCTTTTAAAAAATGCCCATACTTTTAAAAATACACCTAATAAATTTCGTACTTTTGGTGAATGCCATCTTTAAAAAAAACAATATATATTTATCAATGAAGGAAATGAAGGACAGGTTGGACTTGGATAGTCTCGAGTAAGTTGTTTTCCATGTTTATTTTGTCTAAATGTTAGATTTGAAATCGAAAGTACATTGCAAATGGCGGATTTAATAGGGGCCTTGTCTTTATACATACCATGCTTTCAATAACAGCCTTTGAGAGACCATTCACGTTCAACTCGTCCTGTATTGATAAACATATATTATTTCTGCAATGATAATTTTACAATTAAGCAGGTGCATTCTTATAAATATGCATTTAAAAAAAATTATCCTTTCTTGATAAATATTTTTAGAAGTTTGTTTTAATTTGTTTTCAAGTTTACTTTCTATCTGTTAAACAATTATTTATTTATAAACTGTTAAAGTTTTAACTTTATACCTCACACTGTTTTGGAGCTATTGTAAAAATAAATAATAAATTAAACAATCCTTTGATGAAATCTTAAGATTAAAAGATCATTCATTGACAACCAAAAACTATTTATTTCTTATTCTTAGACTCTTTTGGTACAAATACCAACTTGTTCATAATTACAATGTTGTATTACATTCGTTTTAACCCATTTACCCGGTAAATCGAAACACACGGAAGTGACCCGCAATAAAGTAAAAAGGTGATGTAAATTATATAACCTACATCAAGATCGCTATGTTATAAGTAGATCTGTTTTTCATAAAATTGGCTTTCCTTAAATACCAAACAATCATAAACTTGTTAATAATTTTTTTGCAAAATGTAAAAATGTAAATGTGATTCGGAAAACCCCAAATGACTGTATGGTTTACCTTAACTTTTTTCCTGATTTTTGGCTGAGTTCCTCTGCAGTACATGGATGTTTGATTTCGATGAAGGCGTCAATTATCCCAACCTTGTAACCAAAAGCAAACACAAGCGTGCTCATTCCATCTCTCACAAACTCCGCTAAATTCCGAGTAGAACCAGAGGCCATTTTGATAAAATACAACACACGTTACATGCAAATAATGTAATAGGACCTCTGTTGTATGGTGTGCTATTCGAGTCATGAAATATTTGGTGAGTGTGACCGCGATTTTCAATTTTATAAATATATTGATAAAAGTATTTATCCATATTATAATAGAACATTCGGTCTTCATAATTTTACTGGTTATCATTTGCAAAGTCTGATCACTTAAATACTTTGTTTTTTTGTTTTCCACTGCCAGAATTCGGCTTGTGCTACGTTTCACCATACTTTTTTTAAAGAAAAGATTTAAACAAATCAAGGAAAATATTTCTTTCACATTTGAATAAATTTAAAAGCTTTATGAAGCTCCAACGTGACTGACAAGCCTACCAATCAGCTACATGAGGTGTATTATGGCTACTTTATTTACAAAAATACCACGTTTCAAAAAGGCACAACGGTAAAATTTTGGTTTTCTACCCTCCATTGTACATGTACAAGTCCGTTTGTTTACAATTGCCAAACAGCTTTTCCTGTGTTGCTGTACTCTCAATGAATATGAATTTCACGTTACCTTTCTTTGACTGGGGTACCCCAGTGTACTCACGTATTATCGTTGTTTACTTCGTTTACAACCTCCATACACAAAGTCTAAAATATCATTAGCAACGAGTAAAACCAGTAGCAAGGCAAATTTACGAATACCAAGTTATAAAAACTAGATTCTCATTTACTTGGGAAGACTTTCTGAGCGGTAATTTAACATAAAACTTAAACTGAATATCGACTTAGTTCATATGAGCTTACGATTTGGTGTAAATCTCTGAGACCGGATGCCGACGCCATAGTTATACTTGACTGTGGATATATTTTATCAGTTTAGACAGATCAGACGTGTTAGTAGTATGGAAAATCCGTTTTTGTTTTAAACAATATTTAAAGAATGAGATAAATGAAATTATTTAAGTGAATTATTTCCTAAGAGGTTGCTTTTCATGAAAATAAGTGCCATTTCAAATATGCTACATCTATAGCGTCATTAAAAGTAACCAAAATGACGTAGAAATCTTCAAATAGGAAAAATATATCTTTCCACCGATTTTTTAAGATTTCAACACTCTCACATGCACCCATCATTATAATGTTTTTGGTAAAATGGTACAAAGTGTGAAATGTGGCATGGAACGGGTAATTATTATCTACATGTATAAAAGTATATAAAAACAAGATCTTTCTTTCTTTTCTATAAATTTATTAATGTTTTAATATTCAAATACTACTCTATGTTTTTTAATTGATAAAATATCTTCCGTTTTGTTTCTAAAAATGCAACATAGGATATAAAATAAACAAAAGTTATTTTAGGTAATAGAATGCTTTCTATTGTTGTACAAGGAAAATTAATGTTGCAGCTGTTGCAAAAACGGGTAATGGTAAGCGGATAGTGTAATTTGTTTTTGTGCAATAGCTACGACGTTCATTCCCGTACTTACAAACAAAAAGGACATTTTATTATACATATTTACAACATTAGAAAAATTAGTGTAAAATTAAATATGTTAAATTTGCATGCATAACTGATGGAACAGCCATTGTTAAAGAAATCTATGCAGGTGGCCTTTGTACTGATTAATGGCAATTGTCTTCATAAGAAGTAAAGGGAAAAAATATTCAGTGGAAGCTAAAGATACGTTTTTGAATGTTAAAATCATGATTCAAAAG